AATGCTTATAGAATAGTACTTAGAATAGTACTTGTTAGTGGCAGTCATTAATACTAGAATTTATCTTATTATATATTTCTTAAACTTCTTATACTGTTTTTTCAGAGAAAATACTTTCTTTAGATTTAATATTCGTACTTATTTAATTTTATGGATTTTTTATTTCATTAAAATATTATATTCTTAAACGAAATATCATTTTTTGAAATGATAAAAATAAAACCTTTTATTTCGTTCAAGGAAACCATGTCATTTGATGAAACAACACTATTGTTTTAAATAGTATTTTATAAAAGTTTCTTTCAAAATTTAGTAATTCGATTTGTTTAATTTGGATTTTCTTGGATTTTTTATTTTTTTTTAGTTTGGATTAATCATTATAACATTCTGTTAAAAATCTAAAAGTAATTATCACTGATTCATTACATTACATCAATATTTATCTCATATCGAATGTTGTTGCGTTGTTTCAATATCTATCAGTAAATTATCCAACAAACACCAAGTAAAAGTTATATAACTATTATTATATAACTATTATTTGATGTTTGCTAGCTATGTTATAATATACTGTGAACACTATAAGGATAAATTATATAAACACAAATCGTAAGAATATCGTTGGAATCATTGGGAATTGCCGCATACCACTCGATCATCAGGTTAAGCAACACTTTAACGGAGTCAGGATATAGATGGGGTAACCGCTTTGGATTGAAATTATCGAGGGAAGATTCACGAAAGTTTGGAGTGTGTATTGACAATCTTCGATACCTAGTAGTTTATAAGACATAAAAAAATTAGGAATTATAAATATATTTTTTAAAATATTATGATTTTTCTCACTTTTCACATTCGCACGATAATTCTCAATATTTGATTACTATCAATATTTAATAGTGATTTTATTATCAGTATTCACCAGAAATTAAGTACTGACGAAAACATTACTGATTTTTTAGTATTTTTTAGTATTTATTAGTATGATATTCCTGTAAGGGTGTTATCTGGGATTTTACTTTGTATAATAAAACATATTAATAATATTACATATATATTGCATTGCAATGTTGTTACACAGTTGCGTTGTTATACCCTTATAGAAATATCATACTAAGAATCATTGATAATTACTTATTTTCAGTATTAAAAGTACTGGATAATAAGTAATTATCGATGATTCTTAGTATGATATTTCTATAAGGGTATTGCCGCAAGCGGACATTTTACCATTGCTGCAACATTGCAGTAGCATTGCAACAACATTTTGCAACGTTGTTGCAATGTCACAATATTGCAAAACAATGGTGCTGCAATGTTCCTGCAACGTTACTGTGCTGAATGGGTTATCCTTATAGAAATATCATAAGAATCATTGATAATTACTTATTATCCAGTATTTTTAATACTGAAAATAAGTAATTATCAATGATTCTTAGTATGATATTTCTATAAGAGTAGACTTATGGTCTATGGTTGGTCTGTATATAATCGTGGGCAGAAAGATTATTCGCCTTTTTTGTGAGTTTAAGAAGATATCCGTCTTATCTAAGGAGAAAAGCTGTTTTCCTTTGAGAAAATTCCTCCATTGGATAGGACAGATATGTTGCTAAACTCATAAAAAAGAAAGGACCCTTATAGAAATATCATACTAAGAATCATTGATAATTACTTATTATCCAGTATTTTTAATACTGAAAATAAGTAATTATCAATGATTCTTAGTATGATATTTCTATAAGAGTAGACTTATGGTCTATGGTTGGTCTGTATATAATCGTGGGCAGAAAGATTATTCGCCTTTTTTGTGAGTTTAAGAAGATATCCGTCTTATCTAAGGAGAAAAGCTGTTTTCCTTTGAGAAAATTCCTCCATTGGATAGGACAGATATGTTGCTAAACTCATAAAAAAGAAAGGACCCTTATAGAAATATCATACTAAGAATCATTGATAATTACTTATTATCCAGTATTTTTAATACTGAAAATAAGTAATTATCAATGATTCTTAGTATGATATTTCTATAAGGGGAGAACAACCTTTTTGTCCGCAATTGTATACCATATATTTACTCGGGAAAAAAAAGTTTAGATAAAAGCAGATATGGATTTTGTCAAGATCTGATCTTTCATATATAATCAGATATAACGATATATATGATTCAAATCTGATTATTACGCTTCCTAGATAGCATATATAAGAAGCGTAATAATCATATTTGAATCATATCCTATACAGCACAGTAATGTTGAATCAATGTTGAAAAAATGTTGAATTGCAACAATGTCAATATTGCAGTAACATTGAGAAACATTGAATCAACGTTGCACTAACCTTGATATAATGTAAAAATGTCCGCTTATAGTTAATAGTTTTTCGCATAGCTTTCATAAAAAAAACTAATTCCTAATTTTCTCATGTCTTATAACTGCTATAAATCAAAGATTGTCAGACACACTCTAAAACTTTCGCGAATCCTCCCTCGATAATTTCAAATCCGAAGCAGTCACCTATCCATGTCATGGCTGCGTTATGCGTCGTCTACAATAGCAGTAGGAGTAGTAGTAAGAAATAATCAGTAAAGGGGCGTACATTGGAAGTAGTAAGAAATAGGAAGTAAGAATAAGAAATTGACCAATTACAGTCG